ATGCCCAATTATTATGTAAGTTTTCAAAAAATTAAGTACAAAACTGTCTGGAGACTTGTCTACCTGCTGTAATTCAAAGAATGCAATTTATTTCGTCAATCAAATGTTTCTGTTTCTTAGTTACATAATTTTAAAGGTTGCATATTCTACAAGTCCGTTCAAACATGTCAATGTCATGCTCTTTTGTGACAAGCTTACCATCTCCTACCCCATCTGACCATTCAATACTAGCATGATTCATGAAGTGTGGATAATGTGCAGAACCAACCTTGCCAGACCATTCAAAATCAATCAGCTTTATGTCAAATTTTTCATGGTCACTAAGTTGACAAACTAGAATGTTCCCTTCACGTAAGTCACCATGCACATATTCTGAGTTGTGCAAATGCTCAATAACTTTCTTGATTTGTGCTATCAAAGATTTCTGCTCTTGCTTGTCATGAAGTTCTGCAGTGACATGATGCAACATTAAATGATTATCCAGACATTCCATGTAAACAAAGAACCAACCACCAGATTCTGATGTGGCAAAGATTTTTGGAGCATATCCACTCTCTGCTAAGAACTGATGCATGTCAAGTGAATATTGCTGCTTCCGAACAGCTTTCACATATGCTGCAAACTGTGATCCTTTTTCTCCTACAAGTGTTACTCTCCAAAGAAGATAAGTACCAAGTTGGAATTCAACCTGGATACTAAAAAACTCATTGTTTACAACCACATGAGGGAATAAAGGATATAAACGTCTGATGGTTGGAGGAGATGAATGATCAAGTTCATTATAGTATTTGTCTAAGTCTTGTAGAGACATCTTCAGAGCATGGAATGTTTTGGAAAGTGTTACCATCATGTCATTATTTATGAGCCAAAGGAGTGGGTATGTTGGAGTAAGTGGCTCAACTATAGCCACATCTGCAAGTACTGCACCAGAGACAGAAAAGGAAGGGCCTAAAATGTAATAAATTATTAAATTTAGACTTTGGTAAAGGTATCATGATGAAACTATTAGTTACCTGCAATTGTAACCAAGAAACATGGTAGATGGGAAGGTATGTCTTGGTATTCTTTGCAAATATTTAAGTAATATCCACAATTCTCAAGGTAAGGACAGGTAAGGGATTGGCAACACTCATTCTTTGCTTCAATATTGAGTTCACGATAGGCATGTGGTGTAAATGCACATATTGTACCATCAGTACTGCGATTTCCAGGGAGCTGGAGTGGTGTCACAGCATGACCAAGATATGTAGATAACATCTTATTTGCAACATCCCGACGTGATTCCTCTGTCTGATAAAATTCAGCCATTTTACAGCAGAAGTTGTAGGTAAACAAATTATCCTCATATTCTGGATCTTTCTCATGACAACATTCTTGGAATTTTCCAAAGATTGTTGGACAATAGAGACTAACTGGTACAGTACTTGAAGCTTGTGTTGGGCGATGATTCAAGCAAAAAGGTCTTTTTCTCTGTTGTTTATTCCATTCATCAGGTTCACCAAGCTTTGATGGTGTAGGAAGGTCACTGAGCAGTTTCATGTAAGACTTTTTTAAAGCTGAAAAAATGCTATGTTAGCTCAAGAACATTCATGGCAAACAAATTATCAATATATATTAATATATACCATTAGTGTCCAGTATTCTAATTGGATTAGTCTTTGATACTTTGCACTTTTCAACAAAATCAATGAAATCTTTTTTTGAACAGCTGATGTTCACTTTTTTGTTTCCAATGACAAACTCATGGGATGTTAACTGACTCCTGAGATTGAAAAGATTTTTCAGACGCTCATATAACTGAGAAAAGTCCACCCACTCACTGGAAGCAACGGATATGGGTTTTGAGTCATTATGCTGGAAATATATTGAAGCTATCGGGTATAAAATAGAATTATTAAAGGTGTGACAAATGGGATGGATGTCAGTATGTCATGTGTTATCATAAACTCTACTCTATGCTTATATTAGTATATACTACTCTACCACTAAGCAACAAACTCATAATAGAGAAAACCCATATTAATATTACTGTGTCTACTCTACTCTATGTACACTATTCTATATTCTACATCCCCAATGCCCAAGTCACAAAGATGTTACCTGGAGTAGTCATAGAATCAAATGCTTGTTGCAAATTCTGCACACACTTATTTATTCTTTTCTCCAGCTGCTCATGTTGCCCCCCTTCCTTCAATATGACATCCTTCAATATGACATTTATTTCCTTCAACTCATTCAACCCTTTTTCGATTTTTTCAGTGGTCATTTTTTGTTTGTTCAATGAGAAGACGCGTTGCGATGCTGATATAATACTCGTATTTGAACTCTTTTATTGGTTACGTGGTCGGATAAAATGTGTAAATACTTGAGGACTTTATAGAAGCTGTTTGTTGTATGTGCAGAATACAGTGTGGCAGCAAAGGATAAGTTGTTGTGAAGCGTAGCGTCTGGGTATATATATGAGAAGACGCGTGTTCGCGAAAGATGACATATGTTGGTACTACATATCCTTATAAGTATAAATATGTTATTTATGCAGTAAGGGATGTGAATTGCAACAATACCCGACAAAAGTTATTGTCAGTCTATGCTTTTCTATTGGTCGATATACTGTGCAGCGACGACGGAGTTCGTATAGTACATACGTAGTAAAATATTTTTTACTGGTTAGTAAATTTGATAAGCTACGCGTATAATTTACTGATCGCAAGGATAAAAACGATGATTCGATAACAATACAGTTAACTCTCTTTATAACGACCACCTCGGACAAAGCAGAATCGGTCGCTATAAACAGCAGTCGTTATATGCCGCATAGTAGTCATATAGAGACCATAATACAGTCAGGGATTTTACCATAAGTGGTTATCGATTCTGGAAAAATCTTCTTGAATTTGATTGGCTCTAACTCGTACTCTTCAACTAAAAATTGCAAAATTTTATGATATCGGTAGACAGAGAAAACCCTCACGCAAGCTCTTCCATAATCGCGTCTCTCTGAAAAGCTGTATAAGACCTGAAAATACGATAAATTTGCATTCATCGGCTAAGCCATATTATATTGGACTTGTATATTTCATACTACCTACATATCCAAAGCAAGATGTCGCAGTCACAACAGACACAAGCAACTCATTGAAGCAAAAGGCCAGGGAATTTCCTTGTCTATTTGCTGAATTAGTTGAGAAATACAGTAAATTCGGATTAAAGTCCTGTGAGACGAAGGAATCGTAAGTATGGCGATATGCTGGTGGAGATCAAGCAATTAAACGTCTTGCACTTTCCCATGGCTTTATATAGACCTTCAACTCTCATTCTCAATGATAAATTACGTTTGTTAGGAACATTTAAAAATACTGAAGATGGAAGCCTAGAAAATCGGGGAACTCAGTCTGTATCAGATCTTACTAACACCATCAATCAATTAAAGCAATTAATAGAAGAACAAAATCGGGAGATATTAGAACTGAAAAGGCGTCTTAATGAATATTGTGAAGAACTAACTTGTACAAAGAAACTGTACCGAGAACAACTTGAAGCAAACAGGAATCTTATCGAACAATGGAATTCGCGGTATTGCAATCAGGACAAGCGCGTGCAGGCTGTTATCGATATCGTGCAGCTTGAGCGAAATCTATACGAGGATATTAAATCCTTATTAGAGCGAGAGGAAGAGGAGGACGATGATAAAGAAGAACAAGAAGAGGAAAGAAATGAAGATAAAAATGACCGATGACTATGAGTCAGTAGAAGTAACACCAGCATCCTCAGAAGAGAATGATACCGACTATCAACAGACGTAGATTAATCACAAAGACGTGATGACTATAATTTAATCAATGTAAGCATCATTGTATTATTGATCATACTGTATGTACGCTTGGGCTTCATGCATTTATAATAATTAAAGATAATAACAGGTTTTCATTAGAAAACTTGTTACACTATACGCCGCAGGCTTGGCTGAGTAAACGTAATCAAGTTGTCGTAAGATTTATTGAAACTCTAACTAACAATGATGTCAATACAGAATCTTCGAATACTGAGAAGTGCCATGGCCGTCGATTTGATATATGGATCCAGACAGGGCAAATACGTCTCGGAAATGAATCTTACAGCGCCAGCTATCAAATATTCTATCGTACGATCATCTGCAAGATAGAAACTTATCTCGAAGAGGTGAGTGAGAATACTCGAAAAAGGTATGGCGGAATAAAGTCTAAAAGACGTGATCAACTACTAAAGATGTTAGAAGAGGTAAGATTTATACTCAATTCAGGCAACGAAAGTTGATAATTATGATTATATACTGACCGGGATAGACGGGTTCTACAACGCATAGTACGAGAGGATAGGTTTGGCTTGCTCCCCATTCTGACAGGTAAGTTAAATTCTAGTCTTGAAACGGCATCATGCCATATAGCACTTCGTGGATGTCAACTCATGACATTCGAATTCTAGATTGGGTTGCGCAAAGACCCGACCTGAGAATCTTTGGAATCATTTAGGCTGTCAGGTACGTGAACGAAAACCTCTGCCTCAGACGAAGCAGGATTTAATAACTAGGAATGGAGTAATATTAATATTAGCCTAGAGATGTTGCAAAATTTAATTATGAGCTTACCGCGCCGAATAGATGCTGTTATTAAGGCTAAAGGTGGGAACATCAAGTATTGGGTTTTGACATTTGTAATTTCTATGTATACAATAATAAAGGCAGTAGTTTGTCATGTGCTTGATAAGTTTGAAAATTGTCAATGTCGCTTAGAAAATACACAAATTTCATATCATTCAACACGTGACACAAGCAGTGTATTAGCATCCAGATATCAACATACTTCTTCATAATTAAATATTGCTTTGCTTTCTCCTGTAGTCTGTTTATGAATAATATTAACCCCCTGTCAATAATATAATCGTATTTGACCTTATTACAAAACAGCAAGTACTTCTTCGGGTTTTTGGTAAATTTACGCTGGGTACAACACCGACATTTTTGGAAAC